ATCGGCCAGCCAGGGATGCCTGTAGTCCGGACAGCTGCTTGATCGTCGTTGATCGTCGTTGGTTCATCAGGTGGCTTGTCCAAATCCGTAAATAAACGCCGCAACCAGATAGTCTCCTGGCACGTCACTGCTAGGGCGTTGTACTCCGCCTCCATGGAAGACAAAGGCACGCAGGTTTGCCTTTTGCTCAACCATTTGATGGATTCTCCTCTATAGAAGAAAATATATCCTGTGGTTGAACGCTGATTCGATCTCCGCCCCAATCCGAGTCAGAGTACCCCATTAGCTTCCAACCATCTCCACGTCCAAATCGTAGCTTGTAGTCTTTGGTACCTTTCAAATAGCGGATGACTTTTTTTGCTGCCATCCAATCCATCTCAGTAAGTGCGCTGATCCTTTTGCCCAATAATTCGACGTTAACAGCAATATCCGGCCGAGCATTGACTGCCATGTAAAGTAGCGCTCCCACCAGACTTCGATACAGCGTCACGTCCTGCAGCAGTTTGCTCTCTCCGTTCGCCACAGTATAACCTGGATCCATCGAAATCTTTGACGAATTCGCATCGCTCATACCAAATCTGTGAACAATGTTCTCAATATAATTAGTTAAACACATACTATATCGATCTTTCTCAAGACAAATCTCATGACCCAGGAAATGCTTTACGGCGCCCAGACAAGTAATTTCATAATGTTTCTTCAGGCTTCGACAAACTTCGTCGATTTCCGGTTCCTCCGTGCAACTAAACAACATGTCATCTACGTATACTAAAACGTAAATGATCTTCCCGTTCTTCCGCTTGACATACAGACAGAGATCTGAGATGCACTGCTTGAAACCGAGGGCCAAAAGTACAGCATGCAAAGCCTCGTTCCAGCATTTTGCTGACTGCTTCAGTCCGTAAATGCTCCGCTTCACTCTGCATATAAACTCCTCCTTTCCTGCAAGTACTGCAAAGCCGGATGGCTGCAGCATATACAGCTCCTCCTCAATTACTTCATTAAGGTAAGCAGTCTTCACGTCCACGTACTTTAGTACCATTTTCTTCTTGCTTGCGACAGCCAGAAGCGCTCGTAATGTTGTCTGTCGAGTAACTGGAGCAAATACTTCCTTGTAATCGACGCCGTACCGTTGCCTGTAGCTCTGTGCCACAATCTAAGCCTTGTGCTTTACAATCTTGCCTTTTTCATCTCGCTTTAATTTAAAAACTCATTTTGATCCGATAGGTTTCTTTCCTGGGGGTAGACGGACTAATTCCTACGTCCCAATTTCTTTATGCGACTTCAGCTCGTCCTCCATGGCCTGGCGCCGCTCCAGTTTCTTCATCGCCATCTCATAGTTAGTCGGTTCCTCGTGTTCTGCCAAACCGACAACTACGAAATCTGAGAAGCGTTGAGGTAACACTCCTCTTTTGCGACGATCCTGTCGATTCAACACAGGCTTCTGTTTTTCATGGTCGTCTGCAATTGGAGTATTGTTGAGATCATAAAAGACATCATCGTCCGATTCTTCTTTGAAAGTTACCTCAGGATTAGCTTGTTCAACGACTTCTGCAAGGTTAGCAGGTCTATAAGTTCCACATTAGTTTCTTCAATCTCCTGTTCAGATACATCGTCCAATTCTTTTCGTTGCTCTGATCCGTTTCCCAGTTCGATGAATCTCGCATCACGACTAATCGTTATCTTATCAGTTGTACGGTCCAGAAAACGATATCCCTTGTGTTCATCGAAATAGCCAACAAATTCTAGCTTTTGCGATTTTTCATCCAGCTTAGATCGCTTCACATCTGGCAGGTGAACATATGCTTCACATCCGAATATTCGCAATCCTTCGTACCTTGGCTTTCTGCCCGTTCACAGTTTATGGGGTGTAATCAACAGCTTCATACGGTAGTCGATTTTGCAGGTACGTTGCTGTCAGGATGGCTTCACCCCAATATTTCTTTGGCAAATTAGCATCCAGCAGCATACACTTTGCCATCTCAGTTAAACTTCGATTTTTCCTCTCAGCTACTCTGTTCTGCTGCGAAGTGTAAGGAGTTGTGAACTGTGCCTTTATTCTCTTGGATTCGTAGAAATGTCGTAATTCCTGACAAACATATTCACCGCCGCCATCAGATTGAATAACAGTAGATTTGCGTCCGAACAAGTTCTCCGTCCAACGAACGTAATGCTTCACTTTACTGGCTGCTTCAGACTTAGCTTTCACCAAATATACAGCTGTAAAACGACTATAATAACCGATCATGGTCATAAAGTATTTATTATCTCCAGGCGTGGTAGTTGACATCAGTCCACAGAGATCAGTGTGGATTAATTCTAGTGGCTGTTTTGTTTTTCGATTTGCCGACTTGGGAAAAGGCATGCGAGCAAGCTTGCCCTTAAGGCAACATTCGCAAACGATACGATTACCACAATCAGTAACGTTAAATCCGCTCGTCAAGTTCTTCGCAGCTATCGCCCGAATTACTTCCGGATCCCGGTGTCCAAATATCCGGTGCCACGTATGCTGACATCGTTCGTGATGATTACCGACAGCTTTCAAGGAGAGGTCCGCTATCTTTAGTCGGTATAAATTTCCAAGTCTTTCGCCAACAACTATTACATTTTCAGTCGCGTTTTGGATCCTGCAATCAAATTCACCGAAATTTACAGATAATCCTTTTTCTGCCATTTGACTCACCGAAAGAAGTCCTCCCTCGAACTCAGGAACATATAAGACATTTTTCAAGGTTATTTTCACGGGCTTGCCATTGTCATTTACACCTATGACTATTCCGTCGCCGAAACCCGTTACCTTTGCTCGCTTTCCGTCCGCCAATGACACGTCGGATACTCTCTGTGTGAATAACGAGAAAAAACGCTTATTATTTGTCATATGACACGTCGCACCGCTGTCGACTAATCCAGTCGGCTAATCCAGTTGCCATTTCCACCGGCCAGGAAACACACAATCTCGCTCGAATCTTGCACATGCTTCGCCTTTGTCTCAGCGTCCTTGGCGTCCTTGCCGTCCTGTTTCTTGTTGGTAGAACTGCCTTCATTCTTCTTCGCCAAAAACTTTCGACAATCTTTGCAAAAATGTCCCAGTTTCTTGCAAAAATAACAAGTCTTCTCTGTTTTGCTTCGGATTTCATGGCTTTTTTGGTGTCCGTTGCACCGCCCTTTACAACACGTTTTGAATGCTGGTCCAGCAATTTTGATTTGACAAAATCGAGCGTCAAATCATCTTCCGGTCGACTCTCCAGCGCTTGAATGAGGCTTTCGTATGAATCCGGCAGGCTAGCTAAAATCATCGCTACTTTAAAAGGTTCGTCTAGATCTGACCTGCATCGCCGAGCTGATCGAAAAGATCCTCTATTTCCATCAAGTGCTTGTCCAAGTTCCCGCTTTCTCCAAGCTCCATCCGGCACATCCTCTTCAGCAGCAGCACTCTCTTCGAAACCGTCGCTTTTTTATGATAGGCTTTAAGAGCAGCCCACGTATCGCATGCAGTCGTCACTTTCTTAATTAAAGGCAACTGGCTTCCAGGAACAATCCGATTGTAGAACGCGCCTTTTGATCTATTTTCTTCCAATCATTGTATGTAGGATCGGCAGGTTGAACTCAGAACACATGTAAATTTTAGATTAGGAAAAATTTTAGATTGGGAAATATAGGATCAAGAATAAGAAGAGGAAGAAGAGGTAAGGGGAAGAAAACAGAAGAGAGGACAAGAGGTAGGTGAAAGAAGCGCTGTTATAGAAGAGGTTATACGAAACAAGGGAGGATTAAATGTGATAAGGATTATCGAAGAAGAAAAAAGAAAAAAGTAGTCGTAAAAGCTCTAGAGTTCCGGGTTAATGGAAATGAAAAGAAGGAAGGTGAAATAAAGCTAGGACACAAAGATTGGCGGGTCCAGAGGTGTTCTAGAAAAGGAAAGTAAAAGAAGATAAGTAACTGAGGAAGGGTTAAGCCAATGATGAAGAAGAGAGAAAATGAAAAAAAGAAAGGTGAAGGAAAGCTATTGGCGTAATCCTGAAACAAAGATTGGCGAAACTTATCTGCGTTGTAGGAAAGGAAAGGTAAAAGAAAATAGAAATAGAAAAAGGAGTAAACAAGGACACAAGGTTTGGTGTGAGAAGGAGAAGAAGAAGAGGAAGGAAATGTGGAAGGAGAAAAAATAAGAAGTATGAACGTTACAGTTTTTGAGAAAGAACGCAGCAGTTGAAAGGAAATATTAGAATCTTTAGATGGCACGGATGCGAATCCAGGTATATTAGTTATGCAACGGCAGATAGGTGGTACGGGAAGATAACCATCAGAGAACGCGTGCGCGCGGAGGAAATAAATGTTGCTTTGGAGGGAACGAGAAAAGAAGAGCTGGGAGGCAATTTATTAAGAGTGGAGAGGAGCAGTGCCGAGGAATTTGGCAAATAAGGAAGAGGAATAGAGCAATTCGAGGGCACAGAAGTTTTTTGAGTTAAGGACGTTCTCCGGTGGCAGTTGTGCTCAACTCATTGTCAGACGCACGGAGTAATGATATGGTTGACAACTACAATACTTCCGTGCGCAAAAGTCTGAAACTCGTCTAGCCGCGCAGCTTTACTCGATCTGGCAACACTGCTCTCGAGGCAGGTGCATGTTTATTTCGTGCCGCGTTTCATAGGTTAGAAAATCGTCAAAGAATAGGTACTATGTCGCACAATGATCGTTTAAAAAATGGTAGATTTGTTAAAAACAAATTGGCAAAAAGGAATAGAAAAGCTGTGCAATGTATGTCTGAATCCAAGAAAAAGTGCGTGGCGGAAATTGTCAAAGAGAGTGAAGTAGAAGACGGAGTTGGAGATGGCATACGCCTTGTACAACTAAAGGAATTAGGAAAAAATCTAAAATGTTTTGAATGCACACAAGTGCTAAATTTGGGAAATATGATAGCCGAAAAGCGTATTGGGCTTCACTCCGTACTGACTGTTCTTTATAAATCTTGTGATAAATCCACTATAGTACATACAGGAAAAATGATGGAAAACAACGTGTCTCACATAAACATGGCAGTTATACGGGGTTAGTATTTCTTTCTATGTATGTATTTTTGTATTGAAACTTATTTAATCTGTTTAAAATATGTAGTGTTTAAAGTACAATGAACATGTATTACTGAGAATAGTTTTAGCTGTAGTAGCATATAAAAATACAGCTAATACTTTCATAATACTGCACTATAATGCAAAGATTATGTAAAGAATATTTTTGTGTGAACGAACATTGTTTAGTATAGTTGATGAAAATAAAACAAATTAGAGTATATATATTACAAAGATGAACAATTATAAGAGTGCAAACTTAATTCACTCCATTTTTCTGTTTTAGGTGCTGTCCATGCTGGTACAGGAAACACTGCTTTGAACAAGATTCTCGCTTGTGGCAATGTTCCTAGTATTTTTAATGATTTATATAAACGTTATGAAAAAATGGTCGGAGAGGCAATAGAAAAGGAAGCCAAAGCTAGTTGTAAGCGTGCAGCAATCCTACAGAGGGACTTAGTTATTAAGAATATAGAAAAACTCAGCGACGAATTGTAAGATTTATAGAAGCAAATTATGAAAACATCACATTCTTGCCATTATACTTTGTATATATTCACACATGCAAACGCATACTTTATAAATAATTATTTATTATGATATAGCTATTTTATACAGTACAAAATGATAAATGATGAAAGAATAAATTTTTTTACTCCAAATTATTGTGAAATTGTCGAATTTGTTTATTTCTATGTATCTGGTACTTTGCTATTTTATTTTATATTTAATTTTAAGTTAATAGATAATAAGCTGCAAAACCTGTACTTTTACAATTTTTTTTTTTTTCAATAAAATGGTGATAAAGATTAAGACAGCAATTTAAATCAATATCGATTGGATTTATCCTCTACGAAAGTACACTAAAGTGTTGTTAAATATGTATTTTTTTCAGGCCGCAGGAAATTGTTTCAGACATATATCCTCATTACATTGATCTCAAGGCTTCACGTCTCTTAGTGATGGTGCAGGATTTTGTGCAGGGATGAAATCAGACAATGCAGCGTGCTACGTGTGAATGGCGAATGAATCCGCTATATTTCCTCCAGTGTAACTTATACAAATAATCGAGAATCGACATAGAGTATGAGATCGATAGGTCGATCTAGAACGAGAGTGTGCGAGGGTGTGCATGTACATAATATTAAAATAAAATGAGTTTATTTTCTTAACACCCCCACATAAACGAATGTTATTTAGTTAAAAAAATCAGTCTTTCAGTCCCATCTGCTTTCTGCTTTCAAGCTGCTTTGGCCCGAAAAGTCCTTTGGTTAGGGAGTCCGCTGTCATTTCCTCTGTTGGAATATATTTCACCTTTATGGTTCCTTTCTCGATGCATTCCCGTATGAAGTGGTGCCTGGTATCGATGTGTTTTGTTCTAGGTCGATACCCAGCATTTTTAGCGAGATCCACAGCCCCTTTGTTGTCGCAGTAAATGGTTATTCCTGATGATACAGCGTCACTGTCCAGCTCCATGGCTAATTCTCGTAACCACAAAGCTTCTTGACTGGTTGCTGACAAAGCCATATACTCCGCCTCTGTCGTAGATAGCGCTGCTGTCCTCTGCTTCTTACTTTGCCACGATATAGGCCCTCCTTGGAATTTGAATATGTTTCCTGTGACAGAGTGTCTGTCACTCTCATCGTTCGCCCAGTCCGAGTCGCTGTAGCCCTCAATTTTTCGATTTCCGTCTTTGCTGTAAACTAGTTTTACTGTGAGCGTTCCTTTTAGGTACCGCAAGATCCTTTTCAAGGCGATCCAATGAATCCTCCTTGGCTCCTGACAGAACCGACTAACGAGGTTCACGGCGTAGGCGATGTCTGGTCTGGTTCCTTTGACTCGCGTAGAGTAGGCTACCTATTGCCTCTCTATACGGAACGCTTTTCATCTCCTCAGCTTCTGCTTTGTCCATTGGCATCAGTCCCTTGGTGAGTTTTTGGTTTGGATCGCATGGTGTTGATACTGGTTTGCAGTCGGCCATCTCGTATCTCTCTAGTACACCGCGGAGATATGTTTCTTGATCAAGGCACAGTTCCCCAGTTGTCTCGTTCCTTGAGATCCGTATGCCCAGGAAGTGACGCGCTTCGCCCAGGTCCGTCATCCGAAAGTTTTGTGACAGCTTGGCTTTGATCTTGTTCATTGTTGCATCATCATTAGCGAGAATGAACATGTCATCGACATAGAAACCTAAAATCAATATAAAGTTTTTAATCTTAAGATAATATATACAGGGATCCACCAGAGATTGTTTTAATCCAATTGCTTTGAGTGCGTCGACTAATTTTTTGTTCCAGGCCCTTCCGCTTTGCTTTAGGCCGTACATGGATTTCCACAGACGTAACACTTTTCCGTCTTCATATAGAAATTCTTTTGGAGGTTTTACATAGATTTCCTCTTCTAGATCTCCATGTAGGTAGGCCGAGGTGACGTCCATCTGGTGCATCTTCAACCCATACTTTGCTGCCAGAGCACATAAGAACTTTACGGAATTGTGCCTTATAACTGGTGAATAGGTTTCCTGATAGTCTATCCCTTCTGCTTGGTTACATCCGCGCACTACAAGGCGTGCTTTGAATCTTTCGATTTTTCCTGATGAGTCACGCTTCGTTTTGAACACCCATTTTGTGTCGAGGGCCTTCCTACCCGGAGGTAAATCCACTAACGTCCATGTTTCGTTCTCTTCCAGTGATTTCCTCTCCTCCTGCATGGTCCTTTTCCACAGATCACAATTTTCTCCACGCAATGCGTCCTCGACTGTTTGTGGGTCGTCATCTCTTCCAGCTGTCAGGTAGGTTACATAGTCTTCCATGTTGACCGGCTTTCGAACTCGTGTAGATCTTCTTGGTCCTTCCGTTACCGCATCATTCGCTACTTGTGCAATTTGGTCATCTGCTGAATCTTCGTCGCTCGTTGACCCATTTCCACCGCAGTCCGTTGCGTACTCGGATTCCGACGCTTCCCTCACAGTGTCTTCTGAAACAGTCGAATCACTCTCATCCGATACTTCTATAGTTTCGTCTTCTATATCTTCGTTCTCTCCATTGAACGTGATATCGATTACTCCTTTTGTTTTGTCGGGTTCCTGTGCTTTCTCTGAGCGAGCTTCCTCCAAGAATACAACGTCTCTACGTTTTACGACGTGCTCCGTACGTGGGTCTATCAGACGATATCCTTTTACGTTGTCATCGTAACCTACGAAAATCAGCTCATCTGCCTTGGGGTCCCATTTTCGCCGTCGCTCCTTAGGTATCTGTGCCATCGCCTTGCATCCGAAGACTCTTAAGTGCTGCAAATTCGGACTTTGCCCGGTCCATACTTCTTCTGGTGTTTTTCCGTCGATTCCGTTAGCTGGTGATCTATTGATTAAGTAGACCGCTGTCGCCACTGCTTCCGCCCAATACCTTTTGGGTAGTTCTGCGTCGAACAACATGCTCTTAGCTCTTTCGACGATAGTACGGTTCATCCTTTCTGCCAAACCGTTCTGTTCCGGGCTATAGGGTACGGTTTGTTGGTGCCTGATCCCAGCTTTGCGAAAAAAATTCTCCAAGTCTCGATTGACACATTCTCGGCCGTTGTCTGTTCGGATGGATTTTATTACTTTTCCGGTTTGCTTTTCCACGAAGATCTTAAATTCCTCGATCGTATCCTTGACTTGGCTTTTTCTTTCTAAAAAATACACAAAGACTTTACGAGAGAAATCATCAGTCAATGTCATAAAGTATTTCGAACCACCGATTGAAGCCTCCTCCATGGGTCCACACAAGTCGGAGTGTACAAACTCGAGCATTCCATTGGCACGTTTTCCGTCCTTCGGAAACGGTTTTCTCGTGATCTTTCCTTTGATGCACTATATACATGGCTTTTCTTCGAATTTTCCCATACTGATTCCTGTCATCGACCTCTTGCTCAGTTCCATGACGCTCCGATAGTTTAGATGGCCAAGTTTGCGATGCCAGAGTTCTGCTACGTAGAAGTTCCTCTCCGCTGTTACGTCAAGCTTGTAGATTCCGCCGTCCAATGACATTGTTCCAAGGTTGTTCCCTTCTTCGTCGCAAATCTCGTTGCCCTGTGGCGTGAAATGCACTGAGAGACCTTTTCTTACCATTTGGCTGACCGACAATAGATTTACCATACTATTCGGTACATATAAAGCATCGCGTGCTATAATGTCTTGCGCTCCGCTATGTGTCTGAACTTTCAGATTTACATCGCCGATCGACTCCGCCATTAATTGATGGTTGTTCGCTATTGTTATTTTTTCCGAGCTTTTTCTTTGATTATTCAATTCAGTATCTTTCGCCGTTAAATGAGTCGACACGCATGAATCAACGTACCAAGTTTCGCCATTCTGAACTTTTGAAGTTAAAAATGCCCAGTAAGCCTTCTTACCTTGTGCTGAGCTACTTTGACTGGTGGTCGATTTCTCTTCGCTGTTCTCGCCTTTAGCGGGTTGTTCCGGCAGACTTACTTTACATTTGCTTGCGAAGTGACCATAACCATTGCATCGAAAACATTGTATCTTCTTTGGTTTAGCTTTGGCTCCTTTGGCTCCCTTCGTGTAGAGTGCTGCGTTGCTGCCCGTATTCTTAACACCTTTCACGTTTTTGACTTCCTGCAACAGTTTTGTTTTAATAAAATCCGCTGTTATTGCCATCAAAGAATTCTCAAGGCCCATTATCATTGGGCGGTAATCCTCTGGTAGTCCGGCGAAAAGCAACGTGCCGACCCAATCATCCGGTACTTTCAAACCGATGCCGTTCAACTTGTGCGCCGTCTTAATGATTATATATTTACGTATTCCTCAACGTCTTTGCACCTCTCGAGTTGCGTAGATACGAGAGTACGCAATAGATTCACCTTCCGCGTCAATCCCGAATCCTCGAATACTGCTTGAAGCTTTTCCCAAACTTCTTTCGCGGTGGTACATTCTTCGACCTGTACGTAATTTACGGGCTCTAACGACAGGATAATTCTTGTTTTCGCTTTTGTTACCTTTCTGGGATCGGCTATGTCTTGTTCCGTTCCGATTATGCACCCCCACAGGTCGTCGTATTCCAACCACGCTTGCATGGCGAACTTCCAGTCCTGATAATTTTCTCTCCCTTTTAGCTTCTCGATTAGTTGAGATCCTTGAGAGACAGACATCTTCTTTCGAGAACGTTCTACCGCGAGCAATCTTAGGTTAGATTTTACGGCGCGTGACTTGTAACGTCTCCCTTTTAACACGACTTCACGCAAAGAAGAAAATATTACCGCAGTCCTTTGCTTCAAATATTTTCATTCGTGTTTGCTGATATTCTACGATCTCCTGGGCCCATAACCTGATGGTGCAGGATTTTGTGCAGGGATGAAATCAGACAATGCAGCGTGCTACGTGTGCTAATGGCGAATGAATCCGCTATATTTCCTCCAGTGTAACTTATACAAATAATCGAGAATCGACATAGAGTATGAGATCGATAGGTCGATCTAGAACGAGAGTGTGCGAGGGTGTGCATGTACATAATATTAAAATAAAATGAGTTTACTTTCTTAACACTTAGAAAATCCAGCAGACCCTGAAGCCCAAATGTGGCCTTTGATTCAGCTTTGGGTGAAATTATTAATATAATTGTTGGATTTGATACAGGATGGACAAAGCGCGGAACTGGACGAAGTTACGACAGCTTGAACAGTTATAGTTGCATTATTGGATTTTTGTCAGAAAAAATTCTTGACTATACTACAAGGAATCGTAAATGTAGGCTCTGTGATTTGGGACATAAGACTGAAGATCACGACTGCCGCAAAAATTTCGTCGGAAGTGCGAAAGCGATGGAAGCAAGCGCCGGAGTCCAGTTAATAAATCATAGTAATGTCTTGAAAGAAGTTGGCTTGCAACCTAGAGTTATAATTGGCTACGAAGACAGTTCTATGATATCAGCTGTTGGAAAAGATAATCAAAACATGACGTATCATAAGATAGCGGATAAGAATCATCTAACCAAAA